GAGGCACTTGGGGTAGAGTTGTTTTTCTGGCTGTCGTACAGGTGTAGAAGCATCCCTGCATATGAATGTGCTTTCGGTTGCGTGTTACACTCGCTGTCGGTGACATAAAGCTCGCTCTGCCTGAGCTCTCTCACACAGTGGTAAACATTTTAGCTGCGCCGGCTGCTCCAAACACCGTGAAAAACACTCTGTCGCTATGATCAATTAATTTTATATTTTAGAAAACAGAATGGGGGCAATAGAGTGGAAACACAAATGTTTTCTATTCTCCCATTTGTGCTTCTGTACTTATCCAAATCTATAAAATACAAAAAATTGAAGTCCATAATTTTCCCTTCTGCGTAGGAACCCTGCTGGTTCATTTGAGGGATTTTGAGCGGCTTAAACAGTTCAACGTATCCAGTATGTCTGTGTAGATTGTCAGTCATCCAGGTCATGGTAATCCTGAGTGCTTCAGTAGAGGGAAACTGGACTTCTCTTTTGGAGAAAAACAATTAAGTGAAGTCCATTTGCTTTCTATTGGAGCATTCAGGATTAAAGTGTCCAGTGTTCCACCTCCTCAAATAGCCATTGAAGGGAATAAAAAAAAAAGAAGATTTCTGCTGCGCTAAATAATGTTTACTTTAGTTTCTTATGAGTGGATTTACCCCTAAAATGATTCTAATAAAACATGAAAACTGAAGGGATTGCAAATATGCAGGTGTTTCCAGAGGTAACAAAGCTGAACCGGTTGAAAACGAGCGACAGCAGACATCGGAAGGTAATTTTACTTAATTGTAGCTACTGTTTCTACCTCCACCGTCAAAAGCGAAAGGGTTAATCTCATAATGAAAGCAAGAAAACCCCCACAAAAAACCTGTCTTTTCACTTAGACAGGTTATCCCATTGAACAGACTTCATCGCCGTCTTTCCTGAGGGACAAGAATAGTGAGAAAGAAAATAGAAAACCTCATTTCATGGCGGGAGCAGTCCGGAGCTAATCTGTGATTGACTGAGTCCTCATAGGCTACTGTTAACAATGGCTGGATCAAAACCTTATAGGCTACTGTGAACAATGCAAGGCATGCCTGGGGCACGGCGGAATGGAGAAAGAAGCGATTTACTGTAATGGTATCTCCTACTTGTATTTTCCACCTGACTATTATGAGGGGAAGGCTGTTTTTTTTTTTTTTTTTGCAGAGAGGGAGAAAGGCAGAGAGAGAGAGTGGGAGAGGCAGCTTCAGTCTCTCAGCGGGCCGCCTGTCAGCGTGGGGAGAAGAAGAGGCAGACAATTGGGAATGGGTGGGAGTAGAGACAGAGCAGGGGAGAAGATTTGTCTGTGATTTTGTCGAAGGTTTAAAAGCAAAGTTCTGACTGATGAGAAGAGAAGGTGCCTCTCTCCGCATCGTCTCCCGCTCACCAGGCATCTATCTCCCCGAGTTCTATCCCGATTTTCTTTCTTCTTCGCTCTGATGTTATTTGTTTCATGCCATTTGAAGCTCGGGCTCTTCTCTTTGCCACATGTCTGTCTGGAGTTTGTTTACTTTCTTTGATCCTCATATCCATACAGTCAAAACAAATGAGGGACCAATAAGGAGGGCTTCGCTGTAAAGTTCTCTAAAATTGCTTCATGCTCATTATTTCTTTTTTTTTTTAGAAGGTCAGCGAGTTCAGGGGAGCCAAGAGGACGGGCGGCGCTCAGTCTGCCTCCTCCTACCACCACCACCACCGTCTCCCTAATGTACTGCCGTGTGTTGCCAGGTGTCCGCATTTCTCAGCCGAATAGACAGAGTTGTGTCTTATTTCTGCTCCGTGAACGAGCTAATGCTGTGCAGCGAGCTGGAGAGGTTACTATAGAAACTAGCCTTTGCTAACAGTGGACATGATGGGGGGTATTGCTGACAGACACGGCAGCCACATTTAAATACTTCAAACGGTCCCACGCGCAGGAGCAGATGCACACACAAGTAAGTGAATTACCGCGATTTTAAAAAAGGCACAAGGACGTAGAAAAAAAAAAAAAAAAGTCCTTTTCGGCACAAACCTTTTAATGGGCCCATTATAAATGACTGTGGCCACTTTGCGTATCAGCTGTTATTACCGTCTGAGCCTTATCATTTAAAATTAAATCTGGCAAACTGGCCAGACAAGAGAGATTGAGCCAATCTAAAACCCCAGCAGTGAGAAATTGTTCGAGCCAGTAGCTGCATATTAATGTTGTTATTACCACAGCTCCTGTTGGTGTCACTTTTCTCTTCACTCTGAGTTGCATTTAGCGGACTACACAGCATTCTGCAGTGAGAAAATGGCAGCAGACAAGGAGAGCTAATGGATATAAGCTTGCATACATTGGCTGCCTGACCTTTTTCTGTCACCGCGAGTCTGCACAGATTCCTGTCGCCGACTGTCACAGATTTCCCTCTTGTGCTTTAGTGCGCTGCTGTTATTTCTGCGGCTATGACACTGAGAGAATATATGATCTAGCTGAAGCGGAAAATGAAATGAGAAGATGTAAAACCAAATAGTTTCCGGCTAAATTATTAGGCACACACAAGTCTATTAAACTGGCAATAAAGTATGGGAAGTTCTGAATCCTATTAAAAGCTGCATTTAATTGCAGTTAAGGTATGAAAGCATGAGGGGGTATTATGAAAGAAATCTGAATGCACTCTAATGATCGCCTCTTACCAGGTTGGCCAGAATGTAGTGGTAGCTCTTTGCATTCTTTCCTTGTTCGACAATCTGCAAGACAAGAGGAGAGAGAGAAAACAAAATGCTTGCAGACGGTGGGTTTATGTGTGAGACAGCGAGAGGAGGGTTTTGACAGCGTCTCAGCAGAGCACCGGAGACAGGACAGTCAGTGTACTGTACTTGACCTCGTGCAGGACGGACAGAAAGTAGGTTTACAGGGAAAATCAGAGCAGAGGGACCGAACATTTCACACCATCGGCAGCTGAAAATGTCCTTCCTTCTTCTCTCCTCTCCTTCAGTGCTGTGACATGACTGTTTCTCACAACCTTGGTGCCTTTAGCCTCATCCAATAAAAAAAAGGTTGATCCGCTATGCACAAACACACCGCTAATGCTAATCGTATGTGAAACAAACAAGGCAAGTCATGCTCTAAAACATTCAAAGAGGAAGAGGTTAGTATTGTATATTAACCAATTAAATAGAAAGAGATGAATTAAGAATCAAACGTAATAGAAATGTAAATAAAATCGTTTCTCTGTGGGTGTTGATTTAAAGTCATTTCTGTGCATCGAAGTTACATATTTAAAGGTTTATACCATAAAAATAATCATATTTTTCCTTAACACGGCTTAGATGTGACTCCTCACAGTAGCTTCCTTTAGAATGTGCACATTTGAAAAGTCCCTGCCTTTCTTTCTGCACTAACCCCTCCACACTCCTCACTGCAGCTCGAGCACACCAGCTCACCTACAACCTCAAACAGTGTCGAACCAACATTGGAGCAAAGCAGCCATACATGTTCGGGAACTGATTCTGAAAAGGAATAATGAACTGGAAAGCCCTGCAAGTTAACAGGATTGGTTCCTTGGATTTGTGACATACGAAACCCCAGAAGCCTGAATCTGTGTTTTTAAGTCTGTTGTCTGTAGTTTGAAGGTGAAAATGCTCAGCGGTGGCGTTTCCTGCTTATTTCACTCATGATGTGTCTTCTAGCATATTGAAAAAAACATCATATTGACATGCTAATAAGCAAAAACCAGATTTTCACCAGAGGGGGAGTCTTTAAAGAATAAATAAATACAATCTTAACCCTTCAACAGAGCGGCAACTATCATCAGTTAGTAAATATAACCACACTAAACGTGCCACTCTCCTCCTCCTGCCTGCTCTTTTCTCTGTTTTCATTATTGCTCCCTTGTGAGCTCTGATTTGATCCAACATTTAAATAATTTACAATACTCTGCTTTCCCTGGAACTCCATCAAGGTCTAACAACATCATCAAACAATGCCGCCTGTCACTGGCTGAACTGTGCACGTAGCCCCTCTCCCACGCCTTCCCTTCATCCGTCTGCTGCTGCCGTCGCTCCGTAACCGCAGGCGTCGCGGGTCAGCCGAGCACCGAGGGGGTCGTGGCGGTCAGAGAGGTGTGCGCCGTCGTGCCAGAGCTGGTTTTATTTATAAATGAAATAGCCACACTGGACACAAATGTAGCTGACATTTAAATGTAAGGGGGGGGGAAGCTTAGCTGGTGGCAATCGCCTAGCTTGGCCATGCCTAAATAAAGAGCTTGCTGTAGTGTACAAGCACAAACAAATGTTAGCTGCGTGCATGTGTGTCATCGCAACGGTCACATAAAATAAGGCCAACTGGGCAGCATTAATTTCAAGCCATGCGGCATCCAATTAATGGCCTTAACACAGTGGATAAGAAGCTCGTTGAGGCGCTGAGGATGAACTCTTCACATTTTTCAGCCCTCTTCTTCTCTCGGAGCATTTTCCCCGGTGTGCACTTGGTGGAGTGTACTCATTTGGTTGAGTGTTAAAAGTGTGTGTGTGTGTGTGTGTGTGTGTGTGTGTGTGTGTGTGTGTCTAATGATGCTGTAGGTCGTGACAGAAGGTGGCATTTGTTATTAATGGTGACCCCAGCACAAGGCGAGTCCCGCAGCCAAGCCTCGGGCAAGGAAAAGTCGGAGGAAGGAAGGGAAGAGGCACACACACACACACACACACAGCAACGTCGATGCCAATATCCTATACAACAGCGGAAATCACACACATTAGCGCCACAGCGGCGGATTGTCAAATGGAAAAGTTTTCGGCTGCGAGTGGCTTTTTAATTATACATGCAGATTTGAAGAGTCACTCAGAGTTCAGCCCCAAGAGAACGGGTCATTTTTTTTTTTGTCTCGCTGTCGGGAATTTTTTTTTAAAAAAACGTGCTGAAACATTTTTGCGGTGGCTTCTGTATCACGTTAAATGATCTCCGAGGAGGCCACGCCAACGCGCGAGCTCATATGAGAAGTCACCCTCAGGATGCTGTCAGTGACATTATCGCAAGACAATCTGTGTACTGTATGAGATGAACACAGCGGCGAGTTTAAAGGGCAGAAAACAGGCCGAGGTGTGTTGTGTGTGTGCGTCTGTGTGTGTGTATGTGCGTATACGTGCGCGCGCTTGCTATTGTTTGGGTGCACAGGCAGGGCAGTGTGTAGGCAGGGAGCAGATGTCGGTGATTGATGGTGGCCGTCTGAGTGGAGAACTTCTCAGGCTCAGCTCCTGGAAAGTGGTGAGAACTGATGCAATAACCTTAACTGTAGACACCGAGCCATCAATAACAGTCACACGGAGCAGCGATAGAGTGCACGTACAGGGAATGTGTGTGTGCGTGCATTTTTTCCCCTATAAACTATGTACTCAAACAGTATAAAAATAAATAAAAATTACAACCTGACTGGAAAAAAACAAAAACAATAAATCACCGACGTGACATCAACAAGCAAAACAAATTGTGGATTTTTCTCTTGTGAATGTGCCACTTGAATTTCTTTTTTTGGGGGGAACTTTTGAAATTACAGGTTCTCCATGTCAGAACAAAAGGCAGCTCATTTGGCCTGGCTCATTTGGTTGATTTGGCCGGCTGAAAGACAACTGCAGATTTTATCAACTGTATCGAGCGAGCTAATTAACATTAGCAACATGAGCCGGTTGAAAAAGCCATCTGTGGCTGACATTTTAATGTTTCCAGCTGGCTCGTTTTAAAATGAGAGGCCTGTAAAAGGTGTCTCATAAGTGAACTTAATTGCTCCAGTCATGATATCATGCTAAAAGACAGCATGTCCGAGTTGATGATTTATGTAGATGACATGGAAATGAAAGAAACGCTGTTGCTCTGTGGTGGAGTGTGGAGCTAATTCTAGTATAAAGGAAGCATCGCGTCATCACATCAACCACATACTTATTAGTGTCTTTTTGTTTTGCACTTTAGCTACACAAATCGGCAAATGTGAGCTGTCAATCTATTAAATGTGTTCTTCGCTTTGATTTCAAAATCCTACAAGACAGCCACCACTTCGTCATATGGAGAAATCCAGAGTTCAGGCCCGTCGCGCCTAGTTACGGTTGCTAAGCTTTGATTGGACGATCTGTGTTTGGCGGAAGGGGGTTGGCGAACACTCAGTTGTGATGGCTTTCCCTTTCAGCGGTACAGAGGTGAGTAAGTGATGATCCTATCACAAGAGAAACTGCCGGCTCCAAATGCCAACGCCGTGTTATTTATCTTTCCTGTCCTTGATGCTGCGGGAGACTAAACACCACGTCGGACCGACAACCAATCCCCACTTCCCGTTTATCGCCCCCTCCTTTCTTATTCTGCCTCTCTCCTTTGTTCATCTGATTAAAATGCGTCCAGCCTCGTGTGTTTTTTTCCCAGATAGAGGCAATTTTTCCCCAAGAAGTCGCCTAAATTAAAACGTGCAGGCTAATTGCTCACTGAATTATCAGCTTGATGTGTGTTTAAGAAGGAATATTCACTAATCGTGCATAAAGTCATACTTGTACATAAGATTGTGTTTATTTAATTGGATTAAGTCATTACATTTGTCTAACTCTCTGAATCAAGTAGTTTCTGGGCGTTTTTTGCTCCTGTCACAGTTTTTTTCCACAACAATATAAAGTCCTGCACAACCATAACTACAAGTACAAATAAATCAAAAATGCATTTTGTGCATATAACACCATAAATCATACAAAATAAGAGAAAATAAAAATTGATTTCCCTTACTTTTACTTTTGATTTGCTTCCATAGCTGAGTCATATCGACTCTGTATAAACCCAGCCTGCAGTTCAACCAATTTCAGCCAAATAGTTGCCAAATTTTTGCCACGGGATTGTTCGCCACAGCTGAGTCCCTCTTGGTTCCCTTGTTGTGGCGAGAAGCACAGAATTTTTTGTTTTTAACAGAATCTGGTTCATGCACACGCCTCCTTTCTTTTGGGGGCGGGGTTTAATTAACATGATATGCAGGATGAAGTAATTTTGCGAAGCTATCACTATTTTTTAAGCTTGGATTTTGTTATTTTTCCCAAACAGAACCAAAAGGCACACAACACTAGCTCAAAGACCTTTGGAAAGTTGAAAATGGGATGATTCATCCTCTTTTTTTTCTTTTTTTTTTATAGCTTCTGTCTCTGATTACTTGTGCAATTTTGTCAATTTAACAAACAACAAAAAGAAAAAAGATCTTTCAAACCCATCGGTGGACTTTGGGGTTCACGGGGTTGTGCTGAAATTACTTTTCACATTGCAGCATAATTGCATAATGTATTTGCTCACAAAAACAGGGAACATTTTTACCTTTTTCAGTATCCCAGTGAGCCTCTCAGTCTCACAGTCGATGATAATTTGGCCCTCCTTCCTCTTGTCCAAATCCTGGAACACTTTCAAGAAGGAGGCCTCCGTCATGGTCTCCACGTTGACCGAGGTCACCAGCCAGTTCCTCTCCGCCGCCGTGTCCAGAACCTTCTGCAGCACCGACAGGCCTGGAGAAGAAAAGACACGTGCATTGGGTTGTTTTCGCAGGAACTGACTCAATCTTGGGCGAAGGAAACGCGAGAGGTAACTGCGTGGGTGTTTACAACAAAAGTTCTGCAAAGATGATGAATGAGCAGTTGGTACTCATCTGCTGAGAGCAATCCAAGAGCGTCTACATCTTATTAAAGCAGCATGAGACGTAAAATATGTGCAGGTTAATCTCATGCTACTGTGTAGTTATATTACAAGCGCAGAGATGAATTAAAACAACTTGTGAATCAAACAGAAGCAGCGCAGAAAGCCAAACTGCTCCCGATAAGCTTATCCATCAGGATCTCCCCCGTAGCTCCGGTGATAAAGTGTAACGAGTGGGACAGTCCATTAAGAACACTGACACGTACAGGTGTGCTCCTCCAGCTTGTACACAGCCGGGCTAAATAATCACCACTTTCATACTAATAAATGATCAGCCCGTGCATCATCACAGACGGCACACACTCGCAACCAGCTCCGCGTCCTCCAAGCACCAATTACAGGTGGCGCTACTCAATTACACTGTCGCCGATACGCTGCTGAGACCCCTTGAGCATCATAGAGGAAAAGGTAGAGCAGCCAATGAGCTGAGGGCTCATGCTAAGTCAGGAAATAAAAGGCGATTAGGGAACACATTGATCTTGAGCTCTGATTTACAGTCTGACTCACTGTTGTACTCCTTTGCTGCTGGCAGTAGACCAATCAGATTCCTCTCAAGCTGGCAGCCGCAGTTGTTCCACAGAGTAAATAAAGTAATTTCACCCACAGCATACTGGCAGCCATTACCCAAATGAATTATGGCAATTACAAAACTTAGAAATGTAAGCTAATACATGATGTAGCTGTGTTTGCGTTTCTTTCATTAAGCTGGCAAACACTGTTAAAGCCGACCGCCGGTCCACACGCCGCGCGCTTTACATATCCTCCATGCTTGTTTGCTCGTGTTCATACAAGCATTTTATAAGCAAACACACAACCGGTTTTTATCCACCACAACAACAACACAGACCCTGTCAAAAGACGAATGAGAAATGCAGCCACAGCGTCTGAAGGATGATTGCCTGCGCCTTATTAGAATGCACACCAGCTGCTCTCCAGGCAATTCACGCTGCTTATTTGACACCAGGTCGTTAAGAAATCAAAAGATGGATGGCGTTTCACCTCCATATGTGACCACAATACAGTACATATGAATAAATAAGACAACCTGAAAAATGTGAACGGAAATGATAAACAGGAGTTGGTAAAAAAAATATGAGCGGAAAGTTGGACTGGGATAGATGGCACCGTTGAGGGGGTCTCTTTCTTTTGCTCACCAGTGAGTGGTCGTAACTCTTGGTGGTGACAGATTTAAAAGTAGCTGTGAAACTGATGATAGGCATGGGAACAAAGGAGATAGTTCATCATGGCTGTGAATAAGATCAGTGGGTCAGCCGTCACTGAATGGAGTCCTGGTGGAAGTTTCAGCACCACGGACAGCAACATAACAGGAAGCAGTTAGTGATTCCTGTTTAAACATCTTATTTCTTTCCTAATATCTTTGTTTTTTTTATTTATTTAACTGTCAGTCTGGTTCTACATTATGTACATTATGTTCCAGCACTCAGAGAGTACAGCTGGGCAGCAGGCAAGACGCGCTAAAATTAGTGATTGAATCTCATTAATGGTTAGTGTTGAGAATGTTCTGTACTGTAATGCATTTCAGACAAACCTTGAGTCAGCTATCCTTAAATGCTATCAGTGTGGCTGAACTATTACATTGCTTATCTCTTCATATCTTCCATCTCCTCTTTATTCCGCCTCTGCTCGCTTTTTTTTTTTCTTTTTCGTTTTACCGTGTTTGCATCCGAACACCCTCTCGCATTTTTAAACGTTCCTGATGTGCCCCTATAAATCAGAGCCAGCCTGACAGGGAGGCTCGTAGGACCAGCCAAGGTAAAAATGGTCCTCCAAAGGCATCCTGGAAGAGAATAATATCATAATGGAATCTGGCTGTCATAAGCACCCTTTTGGCCAGAGGCTGTACACGGAGACCTGGGCACCAGGCAAGCGAGAGTAGAGAAAATAACACTTTGGGAAACCATTTCCTGAATATTGTTTATGATAGGTTTAATGGGCTATCAAATTTGTTTTCCCATTCTTGGCTTTTGAAAATAAAAATGAGAGGCACATTTATTAGGGGATGCAGCACTGTAAGAGAGCAAGACAGATGTTAATAGGAAAAAAGGGGGGGAAACATTAAAGCTCCTGAGATGGCAGGGAAGAGATAACACATTTGATATATTTGTTTGTCCTTGTCCACTTTAGATAATGGATTGGAGAAAAAAAAAATGAAAGAAATATAAACACATATCAAATATAAATGTATTAGGTGAGAAATTATTACCTCTTCATAGACGATATCACAAAGAGGTACCTGCTACTAGTAAGATGCTTTGATAAAATATTTACACACAAACATACCACACAAATCCGTTGCGACGAAATATGATTTTTCTTAAAGGCTTAAAATAACCCCGTAGGAAGGGTGACTACAGTGTAGTATCCAGGCAACAGAGGACCACTGGCTCCATCCCACTACACAATCACACTGGGGTGACCCTACACACACACACACACACACACACACACACACACACAGGCAACTCAACAGTTTGCGAGTAGATAATGAAGGGATCACAGAAGATACCAAAAAATCTGTGAGGCATGTGTGGCCGCTACGGCCATCATGCATCAATAGGACTAGAGACCACTGTGAAATCGCCGCTGTCACTGCTTGACAGTGCATTTTGCAAAATGACATAATGGCATTCGTCTTTTAAAGCTGACTTGATCCTGCTTATTTCTCTCACGCAAGTCAAACACACGAGCAGATAAAGGTTGCGGTAAGCCCTCACACTCCACACATTTGCATCTGCAAAGAAGCTGACATTTATACAAAGCGCGCATGCTTTTAGCCACACGCACAAATTACACCCATCGTGGTCACGCTCCAAAACGCACAACATCTGGGACAGATGGCATGGCATTATGGGAGAGGTATAGCTATTTGGCCATAGAGAAGAGGAAGAGGAGAAAGCAGGAGGCTGACAGGTGCGCTACTTTATTTTTTGTCAACCTCTGCGGGAATCTCATTAAAATCTTTAAATTGAACGTTACAGCACTTTTTTTTTTCTTTTTTTTTTCTTTTCCAAGCAACAAAAGAGCTGCAGCAACGTGGGTTACTGCTGAGAACTGCTCAATGAAAAGCTTAATCTTTTTTCTTTCCATTGTATGATTTATCTGCTAGTCACTGCGGGTCAATGTTTCTTTTTCTGTGTTCCCAGCCTGTACAAAGACGGTAGTCTAAAATAAATGCTCTGATGACTGCTCATTGCTGCACAATGGCTGTGACTGACCCCACTGCTGTCGCCATGGCAATGTGACGACGACAAATATTAGTTGGTTTAGTGACTGGTACTGGCTCTGTCTTCACTGCTTTTTCATGAAAGAATTCCCATGGTGAGACGTTGGCATTCAAAGACGAAGGACCGTGATCATGTTTTTGAGGACACCATCGTAGCTCATGTTTTGGATAAGAACTTGCACGTACAGTCGTTCACTTCACAGTCAAATCCTTTTTCTAACGACGTAACAAAAGCTTAAAGATGTCAAACTCATTTCCTACCTGAGTCGGAACTGTACATGTAGACGAACTTGGCCCATCCGTAGTGTTCGATGACTCCCACCAGAGCGTCCTGGAGCTCGGGCCTCAGCTGGATGACGAACTGGTTGGCCGTCTCGATGGGGAAGGACGGCGTGACAAAGCACACGTGCAACGCCCCGCAGAAGGACATGAGCATGTTGACCGTCTTCCTGTCATACAGACCGATGATGGCGTACACACCTTTGGAGAACTGGGAGCAAACTGCGAAGGACAAAACAGGAAGAAAAAAAAAAAAGAGAGTGAATATATGAGGTGTTAGTTTCGGAACTTTCCACCTGCATTGAGCGTGAAGGCGCGGGCAGATGTGGCAGATGTGAAAGCAATCCATAGTGCAGAATGCATACAGTGTTTCCATCTGCCAGGCACTTATTGCTTCTCAGCTGTGCATCATATTTTTGTAGGAGAAACAGCAGGGGCTGTAGGATTTTTCAACACTGGGACTTTTAAACTTTACTGTAGAACCTGCACAACTTTTCTGAACCAATTTACACACTGCACAGTATTCAATAGAAACACAATTATCTGCACTGTCTCGTCTATTGTTAGGACACGAAACCTGCTTTCTACGTAAAGCCTGCGTCAAATGACAGATTTCCTCCAGCAAAAAGAGTCAACTGTATATAATTAGAGTTTAAATGATTTGTCCAATAATCAATCAAGCCAGCTGCTCTCCCAGTCTTTCATTACCAGCGTTCAGAAAAATCGAGAAAATAAATGTCAGACGAGTCAATAATGGAAAAAGTCATTAGTTTAGTTGAATTAAATGGAATCAAATCAAAATAAAAGGAATTTTAACTAAACTGAAACCAATTAAATTAATTTGTGTATTTTGTTGTTTTTTATTATTGTCATCCATCATCTTAAATACACAAATATACAACATTTGTGATTTTAAAATGAGACTTTGTGAGGAATTCCAATTAAAAAAAACTCAACTATGGCTCTGGAGCATGTTTATGCAAACTTGCCCTGCCGGTCCATCTGTACGGCGCTGGTCTGTTTTGCCTTCGGTGGAGGAGGTGAAGGCAGATTAGGAGTAGAGAGGTTAATCAATGCATCCCTAGGGTTCCATTGACATTTTACTGGCAGCGGGAGGTCGTTTCCATCTCTCATTTGCTTTTTCTCCCTCGGTCTCACCATTTTTCTTTCTCTCATTGTCTATATGTCACTCCCTGTAATATCTTAAAATAGCAAATTTATGCTCATCTCCGTTTGGAAGGTGCATCCTCTTCCGTGCGCTCGGCTATCTTCGCAGTCGCAGGTCTGGACTGGGCTATTTTCTGCCCGCGTGGCGATGGGTGGGCCGTAGTTATCTTAGTATTTACCAAACAGATTGAAGTCGCTGCCTGTCCTCGCACGAGGGCCAGCTTGCTGCTAGGGAGCTGAGGGAGAGACAGTGAGAGGATGGCCCATACCCAAAACGCCTAACCTGTCACAGACCTGCACCCTCTGGGCAGGCACGTGTGTGTGACGGAGATAGAGGGAGAGTGAGAAAAATCAGCGGCATCACATAAAAATACATGCACACACACACACACATGCATATGCAGCCTCTAGTGCTCCAAAAGCCTGGTGACTCACCCTACTTAAAGCAAGCCCTGAAATAGACATTTTGCGCCTCACCACACTGACTCAGTAATAGAAGTATCTTTCCTTCATGGTCTGCACACGCTCTCACAAGTAAATGGACACTCTCTCAGATACTGCTTTCCACTAGCACACATTATACATCCCCCCCCTCCTCACACTTACAATTTTCTAGGGCCAATTTCAGTTGGTGTCCTCCATGTTCGGCCTGGATAAAGAGGTAATGAGAGCTTGTTTGACTTTTTGTGCAGCGTCCCATTACTCTGGCCTGCAGCAGGTTACCATGTTTCGCTGAATATGACTCATTTCATCATACCTAACGGTAGCCTGTGTTTGACACGAAGAAAAATAAAATATAAAAACACGCGGCCATGTGTTCGCGGACCCCCCCTCCCCGCGCTCTGAGCATGGCGACCATGTGCTCGACTGACCGGACACGAGCGTGACACGGAACATCAGTGCGACTCAGCGGTCTCGGTTCAGATTGCGGTACGGAGCAGCAGCATATTGAGAGTGTTTGCGCGCGAGCAGCTTGTTAGTGTTGCTCCACATGTGTAATGACATTGGAGGCAGGGCTGAGAGACCTGAAGTGATCTTGAAGACCCCAGCAACACCTGTCCACCCTGGCACTCCATATCTCCTCACCACAGTTACAGCTGCCATGGCGGCATGACTGAGGTTGCCCCGGCAACAGTCTGTTTCTCTGGCAGGGATTACAGTGGCTCAGAGCTGCTAAAGGACTTTTGGAAGATGGAGTGGGAATTGTGAGTGTTTGGACATTTTGTCATAATTAGGTTTCCCCTCAAGGAATTAGCAAATTTGCAAAACTGACTTGGCTTTGCAAAATCCTCAGATAATTTCCGAAATAATGGAAGATTTGCAGCACAGTTCCGCCGCACCGCGTTTTTATTTACACTCAAAACTAGTCAGGGATCACTTCCAAGAAGTACGGTCCATGATTGTAATGGATGACCAGGGGACTATGAAATGGAGGCAAAGCTGTGTTTCTCATTTTAAAGCTCATTTTTTATTTGGCTGTAAACAAATAACTACAGTTCCAACATCTTTAGCTGGGACGCTGGTGTCGCTATCCGTACCTACAGTTTAACCCTCTTTACTCCAAACAGTTTCTGGGCATTGTTTGTACATTGTTAGTCACTGTGGGCTCATTTTTCACTGCAACATAAAGTGCTGCACCTTTATTGGAAACAGCAGAACCATGGCTAGAAGTGGAGACAGCTAAATAATGTCTTATGTGCAGTATGCACAGTTATAATGCCATAAATCATAAAAAATGAAAGATTTGTTTATTTATTTTGCAAAAATGGAGGGGGAAAAATGGAATCAATATGCCTGCAAATTTACTAATACTGGAAAAAGAATGCTGCCTCCACATACTGTAGATATGGTACTAGCTACACTTTTAATTTGCATCCATGCTTTCTGTAAGCACAGCCTGCAGTTCAGCAGAGAAGTCTCACATGACTATTTTATTGCTGAGTCAGTCATGGCTTCTCAGTTGTGCTACAGAGAATTTTCTTTTCTTTTGGTTTTGACTGAATCTGGTTAGCGCAAGTTTTTTTTTTGTACAATGAAGTGGATTTTGATAAACAAGGATCGTTCTCAGCCTTAGATTTGGTTAAGTTTCCTGAATGAATGATGCATCAGGGATGAATAGTTTAAGGACTGTTGGAGAATTGAAAACCAGATGATTGCCACTGTTTTTGCAGCGTCTAGCTCTGGTGAATGGCGCCACTCGGGCGATTTTATAAAGACAGCATTCCTTTAAAAACCCACGAGTTAGCAACAAAATTCTTCGACACACAAATGCAGGAAACTTCCCTGAAACCTGAATTGAACTTCTCACCCTTTCTAAACTTTCGCTCTGAACGAACAAGTTGATCTGCATTTGTTGTGGCCAAAGAGTTTTGGGCCGCGGGGAAAAAAAAAGAGAGAAAAAGCTCCAATCCTAAAGGGACTGATACTCACACAACAGGAGGAGCTGTCAGAAGCAACTCACGCAACTCACGTCTTCCCTGTTCTCCGTTTCCTGTGCCCTGCAGCTGTTCCTCTGCTTAGCATGAGACAAATATCAAACGACAGACGTGTCTGTGCCGGCTGCACAAAGAGGGCATGTTTGTGACAGTCGCTCCTGCGTCTGAAGCCGTGGATGAAGGGAGGGCTACTTAGAGGGAGCGCTGCATTCTTCATACCGCTGCATAAATGTTTAAGTTTGAAATTTGAGTTCGACTCGACGGATAAATAAAATATCACATTGAACAGCCTTTTTAAAGCATCAAACAGCATTTTTTAAGTTTGATGAGTGAAAACAACCTTAATATTTGACAGATTCCGGAATCAAACAAAACATTTTATGAACTTATGTTCGGCAAAAGGAACCTTTAGATATCTAAGTTCGTTTTATATTTATTTAAATGCAGGTCAGATGTGTTGGCGAACGGACATTTAAGTCAAAAGGTGTCAAGGTGCCCTTGTGCGTGCTTATTTTTGCCTCGCTAACCTGAGCAGACGACTGCAGAGCCGCTCCTCTGAGTGCGCGTATGTGATTCTTTTTTCAATAACTCGGCTTTGCTTGACATGTCCAAAAAAAAAAAAATCAATGCAGTTGAATTGAATTGTACCGAAAGCACTCACAAGTGTACTTTTAGGGGGTTTCACACAAGCGGGTTTGCAGGAATCAATAATAAGAAAAGTCTTTTCAAGCGTGGTCCCTAATGCAGATTCAATAACACATGCGCTCATGAATTCACTTTGACCGCATGCAAACCACACTTTCTTGTGACATTCTCTACAATAGGGGGCCTCCACAAACACCCACACGCACAAGGAATACGAGGTTTCTACTATTCACCTCCCCTGGGACTTGCATGCTATTATACTGCGCTACATTAAGGTCAGCGGTACAGAGGGAGTTTCACCGCAGCAGGAAGCCGGGTTCAGCTGGAGGGAGCGTACTGATTGGAGGGCTCTTGTTCAGTCATCCATAAAGATCTGGTTTTTTGATAGGGGGCCCACTACCGAGGACTGACACGCCAGGTGACTCCGCCAAATAGGACACCCGATTAAGTCGCTCATCTTATCCACGGATCCATCATGTACAATTTTCTACTCTGTGTGTTATTTGTTGTCAAACTAAAGAAATCTGTTTTCCCGACGGTATAAAATCATTTTCCTCTGGGCATCGCCGGGCAAAGACTGTTAACAGTGAGCTGCCAAATCCAGCCCAGTTATCCTCCACCTCAGCATTAACCCTGCTAGATTGAGTCCCGCTGTCACACGCCGCCTTCATACAGCGAGCCTCAATCCTACAACTACGCCCGGGTTCGTAACGTCCATCCAATGTCACCTCTACGCCACAAGGCCACAGCTTCCGCACTAATGCCAGAGGAGGTCAAATCTGATTTCTTTTTCAGTCAATGCTGGTTAAAAAACAGGACCCAGCGTGGAAAACCAAGGATACGTTATCAAAGGAGTGCGACTAACATGTATTTTCAGTTGTTCTTTTTACATTATATAATGGATCATTTAGTCAATTTAAAAAAATACCTGTCGCTATTTACCCAATGTGACAACTTCAAAAGGATTCTTTGTTT